CCAAATCTGTACCACGGCATGCCAGTGGCATGCCACCCATGTTACACACATAATTATACATGTACGATATTAAATAATAACCTTTTCGACTATTACTACCGCATATTACGTATTACATTTTTATTCAAAATTGAGCTTTAACATACATACATACTGTTACAAATGGACTGTAGCCTTCTTAATACAGCACAAGTAACAAAGCATACAGCTATAGAGCTCTGTTGCGAGATTATAGCGAAGTGAAAGTGGAATATTACTTCACTAAAGGCAGTTCGTGGAAAGTATATAGTTAAAGAAAGATATATTTATTTACGGTATATAAGACTTTAATTACAAGAAAGAATCCTATAACCAAAGGGGGTTTCTGTATCTACTTGAGTCTATCTAAAGATGATTCAAACTAACTGGCAGGAAGGTAGAAAAGTCAGGGTTTATATATCTTTTCTAAACTATCTAAAACTAATAGAAATAATAAGAAATGGTAGAAATAGTAGAAATAATAGAAATGGTAAAAATGGTAGAAACAATAGAAATAGTAAAAACGGTAGAAACAGTAGAAATAGTAAAAACAGTAAGAATGGTAAAAATGTTAAGAATGATAAGAACGATAGAAATGGTTACCATTCTATCAGTTTTTAATGCTATGCGCAACTAACCAATAATATCTAAGGTAATACAATATACAATAATAGAATACATGATAATAATATAATAATAATATAATAATATAATAATAATAATAATATAACTAATAATATACTAATAATAACTAATAATAAACTTAATAATAAAACTAATACTACAATTCATTCTATAACATTTCCGTCCCCTTTAAGAATGAACTCTGTAAATTCTAACTTCTCTTAGTAATGTCAAAAAGTCTTTTTCATTTAATTCTTCTAAGTTACTAAAGGTAATTGTTGTAGTAAAATAAAGATAAGATAATTCACAAATTTGGAGAAGTTGGTAAATCTGTTCAGCACATTTCCATGCTCGGGCAGCACATCTGGATCCTAAAGCTTTTCTAAAATTATTATGAATCTTCTGTATCTTGTCCTTACTATTATCAGCTTCTTTCTTTAGCTGTTCCAAATAATAAAATATTTTTAATATTCGAATCTGTTGATTAGAGTTTAGAACTGGATGACACCAAACTGAATGAACCGAAGGAAAACGGGTGACCCATGTCACTGATTTGTAACCCGTGTCAAATCGATTAGATATTTTTTATTATAACACTTCCAGAATCATATATGTATCAGTAGAATAAAAAGTTATGTTTAATGTATTATTAAAAATCGATGAAATTGTAATCATGATTTATGAGTTTTTTATTTGGACCTTTATACAATAAATATTAAACAACACGATAAAGTTGTAATAAAAAAATATTACTATTTTATCTTTGCGCATAAGCCTTTTTTAAATTACAGCAAGATTAAATTTTCCTTTTGTACATTAGCAAATTTATAGATACGAAATATTGCGAAAGATTTTACAATACAAAAAAATTTCGAAAATAAGTGCAATAATATTCGCAATATTTCGAAAAATACAATTTTCGAAAAAATTTCGGTAAAGTTTTCGAAATATTTCAAAATATATTTCGAAAAATTTTAACCAAAATAATTTTGAAATATTGCAAAATTATTTAAAAAAGCTTGTTTATATTCGAATAATCTTAGTACTATATAAATTTCTTTTTGGAATTGACTTTGGGTAAATATTTAAACTTAGAAATAGTTCGAATTATTTCGAATATCTTAAAAACTTACATATCAATCTTCCTTTATTGTGATAATCTACGTGTTTTTTTGCTTGATGCTTTTTTTAGTTTTTTTATTTTTTACAGTTTAGCCTTTTTTTATGATCTCGATTTTTTTTTTCGATTTTTTTTTTTTTTTGATCTTTCATTCTTTTTCTTCTTTTTTTCTACTTTTCTTTTTAGATCTTTTTAATTTTTTTTTATTTATTGTCTTTTTTACTAACTGGGATAGAGATCTTGAACCCGGAACTGATACTAAGATAAGTACCAGTCATAATTTTCATTTTTTCTTTGTTTTGTCATCTTTTACATCATTACTAATAGTTTTTTTCTCTTTGGTAGGTCTTGTGCTTCGCCAGGAAGGGTTAATGGAGACCAGAATTTGGATTTAGATAAGTACCAATAATTTTTTCTTTGTTTTGTCGTTTTTTGCATCGTTATTAATGGTTTTTTTCTCTTTGTAGGTCTTGTGCTTTGCCGGGAAGGGTTAATGGAAACCGGGATTTGGATTTTGAACCCGGGACTGGTACTAAGATAAGTACCAGTCATAATTTTCTTTGTTTTGTCATTTTTTGCATCGTTACTAATAGTTTTTTTCTCTTTTGCAGGTCTTGTGCTTCTCCGGGAAGGGTTAATGGAGACCGGGATTTGGATCTTGAACCCGAAACTGGTACTAAGATAAGTACCAGTCACAATTTTCTTTGTTTTGTCATTTTTTGCATCATTACTAATGGTTTTTTTCTCTTTTGCAGGTCTTGTGCTTCGCCGGGAAGGGTTAATGGAGACCGGAATTTGGATCTTAAACCCAGAACTGGTACTAAGATAAGTACCAGTCGTAATTTTCTTTGTTTTGTTGTTTTTTTTTGTATAGTTATTAATGTTTTTTTTTCTCTTTTGCAGGTCTTGTGCTTCGCCGGGAAGGGTCAATGGAGACTGGGATTTGGATCTTGAACCCAAAACTGGTACTAAGATAAGTATCAGTCGTAATTTTCTTTGTTTTGTTGTTTTTTTGTATAGTTACTAATGTTTTTTTTCTCTTTTGCAGGTCTTGTGCTTTGCCGGGAAGAGTTAATGGAGACCGGGATTTGGATCTTGAACCTGGAACTGGTACTTAGATAAGTACCAGTCATAATTTTCTTCGTTTTGTTATTTTGTATAGTTACTAATATTTTTTTTTTCTTTTGTAGGTCTTGTGCTTCGCCGGGAAGGGCTAATGGAAACCGGGATTTGGATCTTGAACCTGAAACTGGTACTAAGATAAGTACCAGTCATAATTTTTTTTGCTTTGTCGTGTTTTGTATCACTACTAATGTTTTTTTTCTCTTTTGTAGGTCTTGTGCTTCGCTGGGAGGGTAATGGAGACCGGAATTGAGACCTTGGATTTAGAAGAATTCGGTTTATTAGAATGTGAAATTTCGAACACGCAATTTTGAAATGCAAGCTTAAAAAATTAAATTTGTAGTCAATAGTATAGTTTTAGTTTATTAGTTAGAAGGATTTAGAATATGTAGAATTTCACAAAATGTATTATTATAAAGTTTGTATTTTGCTACTTTCATTACTATTTATTTAAAATGATATTTTGAAATAAAACATATAAATTAAAATTAGCATAAATTACGTAATAATGAATTATTAAAACAATTCGAAATATTTCGAAATATTTCGAAATAATTTGAAATAATTCGATTTATTTCAAAATATTTCGAAATAATTCGAATTATTTTGAAAAATTCTAAACTACCTTATATTTTGGGCTATTCTATAAAAAATAATATGGTATTTGAAATTATTTCGAATTATTTCGAAATATTGTGAAATATTTCGAAATATTTCGAAATATTTCTATATACTTTTATCACTTATAGTATTAAAATTTTTCGCAATATTTTGCAAATTCTTTCGCAATATTTCGAAATTTTTTTCAAAATTTTTCGAAATTATTTTTTTCGAAATATTTCGCGTCAATTGCAATAATTTTGAAATATTTCGGCACCACAAATTCTTTCGCAATATTTTGTATTTATTTTTTGCTGATGTATACAGAAGAACACAATCTTAAGAATTCTGTATAACTTTGCATAATAGTACTGATTTTCAGAAATTTTTGAACTTATCTGTTGTTTTCCGGTTCATGCATACCTGGCTATCTCTAACACTAATATTTCTTATCTTTATTTATATATTTCATCAGTATTTACTATTTCTGAAAATGTTTATTAATTAAGCAGAACACATAAGCAATATTTTACAGCTGATTAGCATTATAAAATCTTGAAATAACAGGTACTTGCGTATTGATTGTGGTGGATTATAATGACTCCAGATCAAAATGAAATTATAATATAAAATCTCGAAAAATAAAATTTTTGGGTGTGCATTTTTTAGGGATAGAGGTTAGGGTTAGGAGTTAGTTTTAAAGTAAAGTTATAATAAACAAGTATAAGTGGGCTTTAGAAGGCTAATAGGTTGAGTAGAAATATAGATTTCATTTTAAATTATGATCTGCGATATTGATTATTAGACATGTGTTGTTTCATAATAAAGCAAAGCATTAATTTGCAAGTCTGATACTATATATCATAAATACATTGTATAATATCTGATATATGCTTTAGGATGTAGGAGTTATTTTGAAATTAATAAGAATCCAACTTTTGTTTCATAATAAAGTATCATTTTTCGAGAATATGAAAGTTATTTTGAAATCAAGAAAAGTTTAACTTTCATTTCATGATAAGGTATCAATTTTCAAGTCTGATTCTGTATTTCATAAATCTATTGTGTTATCTGATGTGTTTCAGGATATGGATGTTATTATGAAATCAAAAAGAATCCAACTTTTGAAATAACGCCCACGCTTATTATGTTTATAATTTTATGACAAATAGCATTTAAATAGCAAATTGTAAAATATAATTAATATAAATCTTTAATAAAGTGTTTAAAATACGTTCTGACCTTATATATATTGCCCTTAAAAGACTTCTAAATATATATTTATACAATTGTAAGAAAATAAAGCGCATTGATGTATGTTTCTTTAATCTAAGATATTCCTAAAAGGATATACTATTTATCATTAAACAAAAAAAGATATAAATGAAAATTTTTTAAATAAAATATCAGTTTTTTTTTTTGAAAAAAGTGATTTGTTCTTACTATATTTTTCTAATAGCAAATTTACTAAATTTTCTACTTTGAAAGATTTACCGTATAAACAGCAGTTTTCCTTATGAGTGATGAAGATATTTATAATGAACTTTCTGAAAATAATAGTCTTCTAGAAGATAATGAATTTCTAGAAGACAATGAATTTTTTGAAGATAATAAACTTCCTGAGGAAGATTCTTTTGATTTTTATCGTGAGGCTAGTGATGATCAAATAATTAGTTCTAGCAGTATAGATATTTCCACAGCTCGTATAGACAACCAACCTTCTGCAACAAAAAAAAGAAAACCAAAATATAGACGAAATTATGCAAAGATTAGTTGGATGTGAAAATATTTTGAGATGAGCAAGGATAAACAATATGATGTGTGTAAAGTTGAGGTGATGAATTTAAACAATCAAAATGAAAAAGTTAAATGTGGTCACAAATATCTACACAATAGTCTGTTGACCACGTAGGTCTTAGATTTAGTATTACAACAAGAGTACAACTAGCCACACATACAACTTTTGGTTGCTTATTTAAGTAGTCCGCCTGAAGGTTCTACACTAGATGCCATGCCTATAATCTAACTAGGTGATTATCTATTTAAACCCTCTGATCATACATATCCACTAATTATTCTAAGCCAGGTACCTTTATACCAAAGTGCCCCTACTCACTTACCTGAGTTTGGTTACTTCGCTGGTTTCCCTAGGGTCTTTGCAGGTAGGCGTAGTGGTTGCCTCCCTAATTCTTCTATGTCCTACACATTTCCAAATTAGGTTCAGAGAACCTGTTTGCTATGGCCAAGACCAACACTAACGGTCAGGGCTAATCATTAAACCACACAATTCCTGGTTCCCCTACCCTTACAAGGTTCATTCCAATCCCGATATCTACATCTATCTTCCTTCTGGTCCTTATACCGATCCCTCCCAAACTTCCAAACTAGTTAGCCCGGATAGGTTGGTATACCTAGATTTTAAGTGTTTGATGATTCCCTTCCTTTGGTTCCTAATTCCGCAGCATAGGACCTTTTCTTCCAGTGCGACTCCAGCGGCCAGGTTGGTGAACTCTTCTTGCCTCAGGGTTATTCGTCTGGTTCTTCGGTCTCCAGTTTCTGGGCTTCTGGCTTCTGCAGTATCGTCAAAGATCTTCACTACTTCCTTGCTCGGGTCTTTTCAAATGAGTTTCAATTATTCCAGTTCCTTGGCTTTGTCTATATGATGTCACACAACTTCGCCCAAAAGCTCCCATTCAAGATGGTGGTACCAAGGTTACAGGTAGTACACCCAACCGATCATCAAATAAATGTTACCGAAACAAATCTTATTTTTCAAAATCATCGCCAGTAGGATTTGAACTCTAGACCTGCCATTTGGAGGGGTGACAACTTACCAACTTCACTAAGTCGTCACACCCTAATCATAAATAATTATACTTATCTTATTTTATATAGAACCAAGATTATACAGTTTAGCAAATGCTATCTGAAGCTTTTGAACAGGCAAAAAAAATCAAGATGCATAAGGAACCACGAAACTAAGAGATTCGGCAAGCAATTGCTGAATGGATTATTATTGATAATTTGGCGATTAATATAATTAATAGAAAAGGTTATCCCTTAAACTGTATTCCAGGCAAATTTACCTGGAAAATTTAATTGTATTTAGTATTTTTTAAATAAAATAATAATTTATTAATGATATGGGGTATATATTTATTA